CTGAGTTCTCCAGAGAAATAGAACCAATAAGATATATATATATAGAGAGATATATGAGAAGAGATTTATTAGGAAATTTTTTTTTATAGAGACAGAGTTTTGTTATGTTGCAAAATTTGGTCCAATCAGAAAAAATTTGAGACTGATCTGGTCTCCCACTCTGGCCTCCAAAAGCGCTGGGATTACAGGTTTGAGCCATCATGCCTGGCCTAAATTTATTTAAATGTGTCAACTAATAGTTTCAAAAAGAGTCACAACAGGTTTTATTTGATTATATACCATAAATAGTCATGGAAGCTTCATATTAGTATATCTTATAAAGAAGGGGGACTATTGTGCACTTTGGTATTTTGAATGAAAAATTATATGATATTGTATCTAACTTTTTACTGTGATTGTTTCCAGAATGTGTTCAAAAATCTTTATCTCCTGTATTTACAAAGGAGTTATCAAATATTAGAAGCGTATAAAACCAATAGTTTTATCACAAAGTTTTATGGGCTGTGTTATAACTTCATCACTTTTATGTGGGAAATGCTTTGAATATAAATTTGTTTTCTCACATTTAAGAAAGCCCTGTCGAGCAAAATTAAGTGTATAATGCATTTGTTACTGAATAAATCTGAGTAATTTCTATTAAAAGACAAAAGGACTTCTGCTGATAAAAGGTTTTTTGTTTCTTTTTGAGATGGAGTTTCACTCTTGTCCCCCAGGCTGCGGTGCAATGATGCGATCTCAGCTCACAGCAACCTCCATCTCTCTGGTTTAAGTGATTCTCCTGCCTCAGCCTCCTGGGTAGCTGGGATTACAGGCATGCACCACCACGCCTGGCTAATCTTTGTATTTTTAGTAGGGACAGGGTTTCACCATGTTGGCCAGGCTGGTCTCAATCTCCTGACATCAGGAGATCTGCCTGCCTCGGCCTCCCAAAGTGTTAGGATTATAGGAGTGAGCCACCACACCCGGCCTGATAAAAGTTCTTGAAAATCAGAATTATCTTGTTTACCTTCAGTCTATTCAGACCTAGGTTGCATTTACATGAGCATTTTCACTCATTGATTGATTGAATCATTCATTTATTCATATACTCCTTGTATTAGTCTGGGTTATCCAGAGAAACAGAACCAATAGGTTATATATGTAGAGAGATATATAAGAAGGGATTATCAGGGAAATTGACCCATGAGATTATGGAAGCCAAGAAGTCCCACGATACATCATCTGCAAGTTGGAGAACCAGGAAAGTCAATGTTGTAAATTAGTCTGAGTCCAAAGTCCTGCAAACCAGGGAAGCCAATTCTGTAATTTTCAGTCTGAAGTAAAAAGCCTAAGAAGGAGGTGGGGGCCACTGGTGTAAGTTCCAGAGTCCAAATTTCCAAGAACTTGGAGCTCTAATATCTATGCGCACGAGAAGATAGATATCCTGGCTCTAGAAGAGAGAATGAATGCATTAGTCCTCCACTGTATTATTCTTCCCAGGCCCTCAGTGGATTGGATGATGCCCACCACATTGGTGATCTTCTTTACTCAGTTCATGGATTCGAATGCTGATCTCTTCCAGAAACAACCTCACAGACACATCCAGAAATAATCTTTTTACTAGTTATCTAGATATTCCCAACCCAGTCAAGTTGACACATAAAATCAACTGTCACATTTCTTTACCAATGCAGTCAATTGGTTAATTAAATGCTACACAGTAATCTCCTTAAGAGTTGGAAGCATGTTGTGTTCTTTGTATATACTCAGGTATTAACAAAAGCCTAGCACTTAATAAGCACTGCTACATACACATATAAGCAGTGGGATACATGCAGTGCCATGATTAGGGCTAAATCCAAGCGTGTGAGAACATGCTGGAGAAATAACTAAAAGAGTCTTTGAGGGATAACACTGAGGGAAGCTGAAGGAACATAACAGAAGTCCACACACAAGTAGGGATTATGCAAGTGAGGGGGCAGGAAAGGGATGAGGGCAATAGAGAAAGGTATAAGAGCCTGGAGGCACATCTGGAGCTACAGGAGGAGTCCCTAATGGCTGGGCTGCAGGATGGAAAGTAGGTGGGGAAGGAGGGAAGAAATGAATTTGTAAAAGAAAGCAGGATTCAGATCCTAAAGGGTTTTCTATGTTTAACAATTTAGCTTTTATCCTCATAGCAATCGAGAGCCATTGAAGGGTTCTAAATAGGAAAGCAATATGATCATATTTACTTTCTTTCTTTCTTTCTTTTTCTTTTCTTTCTTTCTTTTGTTTGTTTTTTTTTTTTGATGCATTCTCACTCTGTTGTGAGTGCAGTGGCACAATATCAGCTTACTGCAAACTCTGCCTCCTGGGTTCAAGTGATTCTGCTGCCTCAGCCTCCCAAGTAGCTGGACTACAGGCACCCACCACCACACCTGGCTAATTTTTGTATTTTTAGTAGAGATGGGGTTTTACCATGCTGGCCAGGCTGGTCTCGAACTCCTGACCTCAGGTGATCCACTCTCCTCAACCTCCCAAAGTGCTGGGATTACAGGTGTGAGCCACCATACCCAGCCAGATCAGATTTATTTTCAAGAGACCATTCTGCATGCAGAATGAAAAACGAATTTAAAATAAGGCAGGAATCGTGACAGGAAAACTAGTTAGAATGCTGCTAAAACAATCGAAGATTAGAGATACTAGTGGCATCAACAAGATTGCAGGCATTGGACATGGAGAGACGTGAACGGGTTAGATGATTCTGGGAGAATCAACAGGGACTGGAATGGATTGGATAAAAGGGGGTGCAGAAGAGGGAGGAGTCAAAGATGGAGCCCATGTTCCTGGTGTGGACCGTGGTGTAGAATGTGGTTCTGCTCGTCAAGGAGAGGGAACACTGGAGGGATGAAATCTTGGTAGATGAAGAGAGAGAAGACAATGCCCTCTGTTTTAGGCAAGACTTTGCAATTCGAGGTGACTGTGGACTGTGGGCTATTTAAATGGTGGTTTCTACCCAGCAGTTGGATGCGCATATCTCAAGTGGGCTGGAATAAAGCCATGACAGTGAATGAGATCACCACGGGTGCCAGAACAGAGACCAGCATGGAAAAGAATGTTTACAGAACAGTCAGCAGAAGAAAAGCCCAGAGACAGAAGAATGTGTTAAACGATACCACAATAACATAATCAGCAAAACCCAGAAACTGGAAAGCTCTGCAGAATGAACAAACCGTTGCAGAAGGCAGGACCTTTAGATTATATGACAATTAACATAAAAACCAAATGCAAGGCATGGATCTTGTTTAAACAAACTATTTTTTAAAAAAGTTTATGAGTAACTGGGGACATTTAAATTTGATGAGGCACTATTTTTCATTTTTTAAGGTATGATAAGGATATTGTGGTTATGTTTTTTACAAACATGGTATCACTTAAAGATACATAAAGAAATATTTACAGATAAAATGATGTAATGTCTGGGATTTACTTCAAAATAATCATGTGGGAGCAGTTGCTGGGGGAGTGATTATGGTATAGATGAAACAAGAATGGCCATGAGTTGATCATTATTGAAGCTGGTTGATTAGTACATGAGGATTCACTGAACTATTTCCTCTACTTTTTGTTGATATTTGACATTTTTCACAATCATAGTTAAAAAATACAAAAGAGAACCTATGCACCCCCCAAGGACAAATTCATGCAATACAGCATTTTAACCAAATGAAATCTTAGGCAGAAAATGTCGGCTGGGTGCAGTGGCTCATGCCTGTAATCCTAGCACTTTGGGAGGCCAAGGCTGGCAGATTGCCTGAGCACAGGAGTTCGAGACCAGCCTGGGCAACATGGTGAAACCCCGTCTCTACTAAAACACAAAAAATTAGCTGGGCTTGGCTGCGTGCGTCTGCAGTCCTAGCTACACGGGAGGCTGCGGCAGGAAAATCGCTTGAACCCAGGAGGCGGAGGTTGCAGTGAGCCCAGATGGCGCCACTGCACTCCAGCCTGGGCAACAGAGCGAGATTTTATCTCCAAAAAATAAGAAAGAAAATGTCTCCAAAGTACAGGTTGAAGGACAGCTGTTATATAGACAAGCTTGGAAACCCAAGGTCCACACTCACTTCCTAGTAACCTCTTTGGCCTGCCTCTTAGCTTCCCAGAACTGTAGTTCTTTCTTAAAACACATCTGGTAAACAAACTGACAAGTGGGTAATGAGTAGCAGCATTGCCAATAAAGTCAAGCACCTTGCCTGAATTTCTTAAAAGTAGGTTCTATACCCAGTATTCACTCTGCAAACATCATCAGTTTCTCTGGAGAAAAACACATTGTATTTTCTGTCACACAGAAGATAATTTATTAAAAGCATTTTACATTTAAAAAGTTTAATTTAGGTGATGGGGTAAATTAAAATGCCTAGAAAAAATGAAAATGTACTGTCAAGATATTCAGAGTGTTTTTGTATGCTCTGCATCCTACGGTTGTATCTCATGTAACCAAGATACGTTAGTCCAAACTAAAATATCAACACGGTGCAATACTATGAACTGAACCACAGGGTTTATCTGGGGTTCCTCAGCCTTTCCACAATCTTTCTTAATGTCCTTGTTCTACTCTAGGATTCAGTCCAGCATACACCACATTGCACTACGTTATCCCATCTCTTCAGTCACCTCCAATATGGGACAACTTCATTTCTTGTCTTTCATGACCTTGACACTTAAACAGGCTTATTAAAAAAATCAGTGGAGGAATCCTCTCCTCCCAGATTGCAGGATTCTGTGAGAAGTGGAGAGCAGATACCGCTTACAGTGATATGGTTTGGATTCCTGTACCACCCAAATCTCATGTTCTATTGTAACCTCAACTTTGGAGGTGGGGCCTGATGGGAGGTGGTTGGATCATGGGTGCAGTTTCTCATGAAAGGTTTTGCACCGGCCACTGGGTACAGTTCTCATTGACAGTGAGTGAATGAGTTACCCTGAGATCTGGTTTTTTAAAAGTGTGTGGCATCTTCTCACTCTCTCTTTTCCTCCTTCTCCAGGCCTGTGAAGTGCCTCGCTCCCACTTTGCTTTCTGCTATGATTGGAAACTTCCTGCGCACCCCGTTCCCAGAAGCAGAAGCTGCTATGCTTCCTGTACAGCTTGAAGAACTGAACCGTGAGCCAGTTAACATTTTTTCTTTATAAATTACCCAGTCTTAGGTATTCCTATATAGCAATGCAGGAATTGACTCATACAGACAGTAATCTTTCTGATGAAGAGAATGTTTTAGAAATTGAAACACCCTCTTGTCACTTGATACTGGAAAGTGGGAGAAATGGGGAGATGCTCAAAGAGTATAAACTTTCAGTTATAAGATGCGTAAGCTCTGGGGATCTAATGTACAGCATGGTGATTATAGTTAATAATCTGTTTACATGAAGATTGTTAAGAGAGCAGATTTTTAGTGTCCTCATCTCTTTCTTTTTCTCTCATACACACATGTAAGTATGGGTGGTAATGGATGTGTTAATTAATTTGTGGTAATCACACAATGTATATGCATATCAAATCATCACATTGTATCCCTTAAATATGTTTAATATTTTGGCAATTAAATATTTTAAAATAAAAACAAAGCCAGGGCTGCTAAATCACTCACACTATAGAAGTCACAACACACAAAACAAACCTGACTTAGCTCATGGGAGCTACTACATTATTTGTTGATGCATTTGCTTTATGGCCTAGAATGGAATTTTAATAAACATATGCTCCGGTAGACACACTCAGAACCAGTATTGCATATCTGGGTTGCTGCTTTCCTGCCAAGCCTTAGCACTCTTCACCTCCCTCAGGGCCCCCAGGAAGGCAGAATGCACACATCACTACTTAAAGTCTTTCTTGCCTTGGGTGCTTTCTCCACAAATACCAACATATATATGTCAAGTATGAGCAGGTAAACCCGCTCTCTGCCATCTCTCTTAGCTTTATTTTCATCCACAGACATAAAGATAAACCATCCAATTGGAAATCACCATACTCTAATGCAAATACACTGAAATACTTAGCAGAGTCTAAATTCATGAGTCTATGATTGTTCTGTTTCAAAAGAAGGACCAATCTCATGAATTTAAAGATTTGCCTTACATATTAGGACCCAGTGATTTTTGTGTGGTGAGGGATTCTAACATTTGATACATTATGATATGACTGTACAATTTATTACTTGGTTGATAATAGGTGTCATCCTTTAAAGTGGGACCACTTTAAAACTGACGTGTGATTTAGAATTTTTACTGTCAATGTTCGCCTCACTTGTATTATAAACTTCTTGTATTTAAGGATTGTGTATTTTGTACCTTTTTTTTTTGTATCCCTATACTCTCTCAGTCTTTGCCTTATCATGGAGCTCAGAAAAGTCCTATACATAGGAAATCTTTAATAAAAGATTTTCTTTAAGTACTGTGGGACTAGATTATTCTGAACACATGGGTTCAAACCAGTTTAAAGCAGCTAGATGTATTTTTGTTAGCTCCTTATCTATCCTAAGATTTTTTTTCTTTTATTGTACTTTGGGCTCTGGGGTACATGTGCACATCCTGCATCCTGCAGAATTGTTGCATAGGTACATACAAGCCATGTTGGTTCGCTGTCTTAAATCTCTCACTAAATTACTTGCTTTATACGTTTTAGTGTGAGTATGCTATCAGGATGATTTGACTGCAAACAACAGAAAAATCAAACAAAAATAGCCTAAACCAAAAAGAAGAATGATTATTTCACATTCCAAGAAGTTTTGGAGGTGAATGGTTAAATGGCTAATTAGTTTAGAAGCTCAACAATATCACCCAGCACCCATTTTCACTATGGCTAAAGCCCTGGATCCCTCAGGCATGCACCATGGCAGCAGCAGTTGCAGTAAAGACACCCTTACACCACAATGCTCCATGACCAGAGAGAGGTCTCCTTTCTCCTGCCCCTTTCCAGAGGTTCCGTGGAAGACTTCCTTTCACCTCCCGTTTTTCATTCCTAAAGCAGTCCCTGGCAACAGGGATCGATTTATCACAATGGGTGCAGAGCAATTAAGATTCACCACTAGGTGAGTACTTCGGAAAACACTTGGCCACCCAGTATATAAACAAATCTGGTACTCTTGTCAAGAAAGAGGTGAGTAATTCCCAGCAGCCAATAGTGTCTGCGACAAGTGAAATATCTCACCAGAGAAAACTGAGTAGGTACTACATGATTGTGTGTTTTCTCTGTTTTCTGCCTTTGCCTTTTCCATTTGGTAAGACTCCCCCATGTTCCTCTTTGTGGCTCTTCCCTGGATTTGTTCAGATACAGGTGGCAATATGCCAGAAAGGTATGACCCCAGTCCTAGGAGTCAAATTCGTGATGAGCCTTGCATAGTCAGGACAATCCCAATTCCATTTGCCAGTGAATCATTTAGGGAGCTCCATGTGACTCAGTTCTAGTCACCAAGGTGGAAGAGAAATTCTCTTGAGGGACACCTGGGAAAGATTTTTCTGCCTGATAAAACAGGAAGTAAGCAAGGGTTCTGCTACCCCATTGGCTTTTTGCCTTTGAACTTGGCTGTGGGAAGACATGATGCTTAGAGTTGCTGCAGCTATCTCTGACCTTGGGCAAAACAACCCAATACGCAGGAGGGCAGAACAAGCAGCAAGAAGAATCCTGAGTCTTGTGGATGTTGTTGAGCAGCTGAACCAACCCTACGACTGCTTCCCTCCAGACTCCTTAGCTTTGCAAACCATGAAGCTCTATTGTTTAAGCCAGGCGTGGATGGCTATTGTCACTTGCCATTGAAAGCACCAGGACAGAGTCCTCTTTCTAGAAACAGAGCCACAAAACCTTTATTATGGTAAATGCACATAAAGAATATAAAAGTTTTCTTTATATTTCTCTTTAAAGTAATAGCTGAAGTCTGCCTCAGGTAAAAAGACAAATAGAAAACATAAATGTATATATAATTCAAGAACAATAAATATTCATTTTAAAATGAATAAATGTTCTGTAGGATACTGTGGCAGTTTTCTCAGGGAATATATTTTTCTAATACTTATATCAACTAACAGTATTTGTGTGGCACCTCCAGGACCTCTGTGTTTAAGTCCTCCCTGGAAACTGCATTTCTCCACATTGTTCTGCTACTTTGGATCTCAGATGTGCCTAAAAAGAAATACTTTTAACTTCTCTGGTTTTTTTTTTTTCAAATGTTAACATAAAACTTGCAGTTGTAACATGCTTATTTATAGCTAGCTGTCAAGCATTTGTTCAAAAACATGTTTCTATAATATCTTCATCTTACAATCATTCAATCCATAATACAGTTTAAACATTTTTCCATAATAATTCAGACTATTCATGTTTTTACACAAAACACTTTGATATATGAACTATCTGAAACACACATCAAAATCCAGAAAGTTATATGATATCAATAGCCATATACTAAAATACACCCAACAATGAACAATGTTTTCATATTAAACTCAAATTTAATACATGTTAATATGTAGGGATATTTACCTACAGATAAAGCTGTAGATTTCTCTCTATCCTTCCCCCATACTTCTCAGAGGTAACCATTGTCTTGATGATGATGTTGATGACAGCAACAATGATGATGATAATGACGGTAATAAAAACTGCAAATTTACTATATGCCAGGCAGAATTCTAAGCACTTTACATACATTAAACTCCTTAAATGCCTACCGCAGACATATGACATTAATACTATTATTATCCCTCATTTTATAGATGAGGGGTTGAGAAAAAATTGGCTAAGCAGCTTGGTCAAGGCCACACAGCTGATGTGCCAGGATTCCAATTCAGGGAATCTGGCCATGGAGACCTTTGCTGTATCCCATTGCTATATGGATATTGCTGTGTATCATTATATACTTTCTCAAAACATGTATGCGTCCATAAAAAACTATACATAGGATTTGTCCATTTTGCAAAAAGTATATAATTTTATAATATTTCTGGGGTCTTTTTCCAGTTATTTTGGTATTATGAGCAATGTTGCAATAAATAGTCTTGAATGTAGCTCCTTGTGCACTTACTCTCTGGCAAACATCTAGAAGCCAAATTTCTGCTTGGTAGATTACTCATATTAATATATATATATTTTTTTTAGTTATTCCAAAATTGCTCTTCAAAGAAGTTGTACCAATTTGCAGTCCTGCCAGCACTGTGTAAGGTTTTTCATCTCCCAGTGACTCCATCTATTCTTGGTATCATTGGGTTCACTGATTTTTGCCAATCTAATTGGTATGAGGTGGTATTTGATTATTGTTCTTATTTGGACTTTTCTTTGATTGCTAAAGAGGTAAGAGCATCTTTTCATATGTTTATTATCTATTTATGCTTATTTCGTTCTTGGATTATGCTTATTTCATTTTGTCTGATTTTAAAAGAATTAGATTATATTCTGATGATATAAAGTCTGTTATATAGGCTGATGTCATCAAGATATTCTTCTATATATTCTTTTTAAATTTTACTTTTCACATTTAGGTGACTTTGTGTATGCTGTGAAGTAGTACCCAATTTTACCCTCTTCCATATAAATAGTTAGATCTATCTTTTTCTATACGGTGATGTCTCAGCATCATTTATTAAATACTCTCATTTTTTGCCCAGTGATTTGTGATGTCATCTCTGTTATATTCCAAATTTACATATCTAAGTGGTTCTATTTTTACACTCTCTATTCCCTGTGGCAATATCACATTGTTTAGGGTAGTTTTACATGATAATGTAGTATCAATATTCAAAAGGATAACCACCTCGCTTTGTTTACTTTTCCTCCCTCTCTGCCTCCTTCTCCTCCTTATTTGCAATTGTCTAGCCTATTCTTGAGTTTTATTCTTTCATATGCACTTAAGAATCATCTTGTCAAGTTTTTTCCTACTGAAATTTTTGGTGAAATTGTACTGAATTTATAGGTAAATTTGGGAAAAATGATCATCTTTAAAGTACCGAACCCACCCACCCATTAATATAGTAAATTCTTTCTCTCTTCCCTCAACAAGTTTTGTTGCTTTCTCAAAAACAATCTCACATACCATTTTTTAGATTTATTTATGGATATCTTAAAGTTTTAATGATTTGGTTAATAATGTCCTTTAAAAAACACACTTTAAAAATAACCTGATTTTTGTATATTGATTTCTAGCAAGCATACTGAACTTTATTAGTATTAATATTTAATCATTAATTCTCTTGCATATTCTATATATACACACATATATATACACATATTCTATATATACACATATATACACATACACATATATATCTGTATCTATCTACATATATTGAATCGAATATATCAATCTATTATATTTTCTCCTTTTTCTTAATCTTTTGCTTTTTGTGTCTCTTGTGCTTTTTAAAGATTGAATATATTACCATACAATACACAGATATTATTTACTTTAGTTAGCTTTCATAATTATATAACCTTACGTAATTAACACCCTCAATCAGAATATAGAATACTTCAATCACCTCATGCTTCCTTGCAGTCCATTCCCAGCTCTGAGCAACCAACAATATTTTTTTCTGCTACCAATCAACTTGTTTTTCTTGTCCTTGAGCTTTATATAAATAGAATAATAACATATATACTATTTTGAAACTGGTTGCTTTTGCATGCCATAATGTCCTTTTGAGATTCATTTATGTTGTTGCCTGTATTAGTAACCCATTCTTTGTTTTACGATTGAATAGTATTCCATGGTGTGGAATAACTCAGTGTGTTGACTGGTTCTCCTATTGATAGACATTTGGGTTGTTTAGAGGTTTGAGCTCTTAGGAATAAGGCTGCTGTAAACATTTTAATATTTTAACTTTTTCTTTTATTTTCATGTTATGATAACTAAAACCCACAGTGTAACATTGAAAGTAGAATGAGGGGTATTCTTATGTTTTTGACATAATTAATTTTGATCTTTGTAATCGTTATTTATTTATTTATTTATTTATTTTTTGAGACGGGTCTCTCCCTATGTTGCCCAGGCTGGTCTCAAACTTTTGGTTTCCTGTAATCTCCCCGCCTTGGCCCCCTTACAGTGCTGGGATTACAGGCGTGAGCCATCACACCACGCCTGCAATAGGTTTTTGAAAGAATCCTTTATTAAGTTAAGGAAGTTCTCATCTATTCCCAGTTTGTTTAAAAGAATATGTTCATTTTGGGGGATATTTTGGTTCCATCAAGAATGCTTGTTAAATTGCATTGAATACCTTTTCTACATCTATTAAACCAATTTTTCTCCTTTTATCTGGTCAAGCCATAATTTATATTAATAGATCTTCCAAGGCAGTTTTGCATTCTTGGATATCTTAATTATTAATGATTTAAAAAATTATATAGCTAGATTTAAAAATATGCTACTTATGGACATAAAAGTGGAAACAATACACAATGAGTACTATAAGAAGAGAGAAGAAAGGAGGAGGGCAAGGCTTGAGAAACTACCCATTGGGTACCATGCTCACCACCTGGGTGATGGGCTCAGTCATACCCAAGCCTCAGCACCACACGATATCCCCATGTAAAAAATCTGCACATGTACCCCTGCATGTAAAAGGTGAAAATTAAAAATAAATAAAATATTTAGTATGTTTGTCACTTTGTTCATGTATGAAATTAGTCTACAGTTTTTTTCATTTTGTTTCAAGAGTTAATGGCCTCATAAAATGAACTGGATAGCCTTCTTCCTTTTTCTATTCATCTGAAGCAATTTTACAATATTAAAATGATCAATTTTTTGAAGGCAGAAGTTACCTGTAAAACCAGCCAGGCTTGGAGATTGTTTTTGTGTGTGTATTTAGAAAGGGTAGCAGCAGGGGGCAGGTGGTCTAGTTTAGTTGTTTTAATGGTAATATGTATGCTCACATTTTGTATTTCTTTTTGAGCCAGTTGTGTTATATTTTTCCAGAAGATTACCTTTTTAATGTAAGCTTTTAAATGTATTGGCATTAAGTTGTTTATAATATTTATCTATTAATTTTCTACTACATCTCTATTATGTCCTGTTCTTTCTATTCAGAATATTATTTATTTTTATTTGCATTTCTCTTCTTTCGTTCAAGGGAACAGATATTTGTCTGTCAAATATGTCTTCTAAAAGAACCACTTTTCTTTTGTTAATCTTCATGACTGTCTTTGGTTTAATGTTATTAATTTTTGCTCTTATCTTTGATATTGTTTTCTTCCTTCTAGTTCCTTAGGGTTTACTCTGCTATTTTTTTTTTTTTTTTTTTTGAGACAGAATTCTGCTCTTATTGCCCAGGCTGGAGGGCAGTGGTGTAATCTTGGCTCACTGTAACCTCTGCCTCCCAAGTTTAAGAGATTCTCCTGCCTCAGCCTCCTGAGTAACTGGGATTTCAGGGCCTGCCACCATGCTTGGCTAATTTTTGTATTTTTGATAGAGATGGGGTTTCACCATATTGGCCAGGCTGGTCTCAAACTCCTGACCTCAGGTGATCTGCCAACCTCGGCCTCCCAAAGTGTTGGGATTACAGGCGTAAGCCACCATGCCAGGCATCTGCTATTCTTTTTTTAACCTTTTGACTTAGATACTAAGTATATTGTCATTTTCAACTTTCCTTCTTTATTTAATGTATGCATTTGAAGCTGTATTTTAATTATTTGCAGCAGTGTGCTGGAGCCAACTGTAGCTCATATTGGCTTGTGGGAATCTATTGTGTGTATCCTTCCCAACTTCACACTTCATGTTGGTGGCTTGAAATAGACTATGACTTTGGGAGGACGAGGCCAAGAGATCGAGACCATCCTGGTCAACATGGTAAAACCCCGTCTCTACTAAAAAGTACAAAAAATTAGGTGGGCATGGTGGCGCGTGCCTGTAATCCCAGCTACACAGGAGGCTGAGGCAGGAGAATTGCCTGAACCCAGGAGGCGGAGGTTGCGGTGAGCCGAGATCCGCCATTGCACTCCAGCCTGGGTAACAAGAGCGAAACTCCGTCTCAAAAAAAAAAAAAAAAAAAAGAAAGAAAAGAAAAGAAATAGACTATGTGGGATATTTACACTATGAATATTGACAAAGGCTACAATTATAATAGTGCTTGCCTATCCCCCTTTCCCTCCAAATATGTGGAACCTGTTGGAATACATTTACCAATACATGATTGGTTGATTTCCAAATCTGGTATTTAGTGTTGGTGTTATGCTTTTGTTCTAAAGTCTGATTTCTTTTTTACTCTTTGGTTGTTTAGAAGTATTTGTTAAAATTTCCAAATACATTAAATTTTTTGTTGTTGCTTCTGGCTTTTAATTTTATTGTGATGTAGTCTATAGAACGTTAATTCTTTAGCATTTGTTAGGGCATAGTTAATAGCATACTATATGATCACTTTATTCATTTGTAATTTTTAATTAAAAAACTTTTTTAGAGACAGGATCTCACTATGTTTCCCAGGCTGGAGTGCAGTCTCTATTCACAGGCAAAAGCGTAGCACACTACAGCTTTTTAACTTCTGGGCTCAAGCAATCCTCCTGCTTCAGCTTTCCAAGTAGCTAGAAACAGAGGTACATGACAATTGCACCTCACAATTTACTTTTAAACATTTATTCATGCTCGAAAACATGTATATTCTTTAATTCTCAGGGTTCTATATATGTCTCTTTGTTCAAGCTTGTTAATTACGTTGTCTCAGTTGTCTATATAGTTATTAATTTTTGTATGTATGACTACTGATTTCTGCTTAATCTATCAATTATGGATCTATCAATTCCATAAGGACTCTTAAAGGCTCCTCTACATTGCTATTTAAATTTCTTTTCCTTTTGTATCAGTTTTCTATAGATTTTGAGGCTAAACTGTTAGTGTGAACAAAAGTTCCCTGAAAAGGAATTTGGAGGAAAGTGATTTTATTGAAGTGAACAGTTTACAAACTGGGGAGACCCAGGCTTCAGTGTAAAACGAAGGTGCATTCTGGGAAACAAAGGGAGGCTTTGAGTTTTACAGTGAAAGCTCCTGTCCAGGTTCCTAATAAGGTCTGTTCATGCAAATGAAAGATTCAAACTTGCTTAGTTCTGACTGGTCAACAGAGCTGAGCTCTGATTGGTTGATACAGCTAAGCCCTGTTTGTTGATACAACTAAATTTGCATCAACATTGGTTGGGTCAGGTGAGCTCTGAAAGTACTAAGGTGGAATAGAGGCGTTGGTTTTGGCAGAACTCAGAGTAGATGTGTGACCTGTGGTCAGCCAATGGTCACTCAGCTCTATTTTAAATTTAGGCCTGGTTAGCCACACAGGATCCATCTTGAAAGATTGGCTCTTTCAGATATATGTTCACCTTAGGTACATATGGGATTACTACATCTTTCTGATAATTTTTTTCTGTAATGAATATGTAATGTCCTACTTATTCTTTTTTCACCTTATGTTTCTGTACCTTTAATACCTTTAACCATCTTAAATGTGCATGTTGTATTCCCTTTCAGGTTATTTTTCCATTATTTTATATTCTGAGCTGTACTATTTATATTTGCTATTTCTGTTGACTTTCATTTACAAGAGTAATTTCCTTGTGCATTTTATAATTTGGGATTAATTACAAGAGAAACTCTCCTTTTATTTGGGAATCTGGGAACCCTGAGTAGTTCAGGAATCCCTCCAGTGTGTTTTTGCTGTGCTTCGTTTGAATATCCCAGAGCCACTATCAGCCTAAGACCAAATTTACATTACCTTTTCAGCTCCAAGATTTCCCATGCTATGAATGTAGTAGAAAACAAACTCCACATGCGCAGGCCTGGAAGGCTGAGCTCTCATGAGAGCCTATTTACTAGCATCATCTTCTATTTTTCCGGCTAGAATCATAACTGAGACAACTTCCTTATGGTCTCTCTGAACTATTGGGTCCTCAGTTTCCCCACCTCCTCCATGTGTTGTGGGAAGCTGCAGACCGGCAGAGGGCGCTCCGGGCAGTCAGCAAACGATCCGGGGCAGATCCACCCAGAGCCAGTGGAGTGGCCTCCTGGAAATGTCCACAGCTTCATGAAGATCCGCTACGTAGTGGGGGTCTCAGGCACAGACCTCACTGGAGCCTGGGGAGAGGCATGAACACAACAACCTCCGAATTGTTCTCTGTGTCTCCAGTCTTGCTCTTCGTAAACTCATTCTTCAAATCATAGCCGCCATGATCTTTCCGCACCGCAGCGCCTTCCTGCCCTCCCTGGGCAGTTTAGTAGTCCCAGTTTTTAGTGAGTTTGCATCTCACCCAGTGGCAAATTCCTAGGTAACCGGATCGGATAACTCCTCCTAACGGCTGAGCATCCCCTGATGTAACTTTCTCAGTGGCCCTCAGCTGTCTCCTAGCTTCTGCCATGGGTACAGCCATAGCTGTTCTTTATTTGAGCACAGTCACAGATTTTTAAAAGCTGTAGTATCTTATTCTGCATTTCTAAATGTTATTAGGGGGTGCCTCTGCTTGGTAGCCTACTCTGCTGTCTTGCAAAACTAGAAGTCCTGCCTCCTTTAGCTGATGTGAATTGTGTTAGTATTGCCCTTGTTCTTACTCAAGGTCTTTCTGTGACTATTCAGGTCCTGGGTAGCCATTCAAAAAGAGTTAAGCGACCACAGGTCCCACCCAGCACGTATATATCTTTGCCCTCTTACCCCTTTCTCCATGAGTTTTGAAGAATGGGTGTGGCAGATTAGACTGGATGAAACCAGGGTACTCCTCTTTTACAAGATTGAAAATTATGTTAGAGGGAATTCATTGCTGTGAATGGGTTTACTCTCTCTTTAAGGTCACTGGGTTCTCACCATGTAAGAAAATATTTGATCACAAAACTCTGGGATGATTTTTCCACGTAAATCATGTGTCCATTCCAAGTGTATTTCATAGCCATTAGTTTGTTAAGCCTTCCTTATTAAAAATAACCGGAGTTTAATATAGGTTGAATGACTTCAGTGAAATGACACTCTAGTTCTTTTTCCAGAGATTTTCAAACTTCATTAAGTTTCTCTGAACATGCTAAATTCTTTTATAAGTTCCTTTGTTCTCCATTTTTTCACCCGAACTTACTGCTACCTTGCTTTAAAATTTTTATTTTCTACAAAAAAGGGTAAGCGAGGAGTGGAGAAAGTCATTTTAGGTTATTTAAAAAAAAAAAAACTTCAAAAACATTACTCTTTTATTCAATTTCTAGTTATTGAAGAAAATAAAATTATATCCTTTTTAATGGGTACTTACTTCAACCAAAACCCTTTTTCCCAAAGGCGTTTCTATTAATCAGTTCTGATGGTCTGAGGAAGCCTGTCAAGGGCAGGGGCCTCTTATTCTCTTACTGTTTGTCCTCGAGGACACCCATCACCCCCACCTTCTTCTTGGTGACTGGTTCCCTTGGGTAACCAAAAATATTTTGCTCATTTCTGTTTCCATGACCTCTATTTGCCTAGTAACCCCTCCACTGCTTCACTGCCCTTCTTCTGAGTCAAGACATTCATTCACTGTTTTATGGTATGTTGGTACATGAGAAAACAGACATGCTGTGGAATGGTCTAAAGCTCTTCCTGGATGTACCACACCCCACACTCCATCCAAAAAATAAGGCTTATATCTTTTTCTAGTAAACGATTCTATGAATTAGGCCGGGTTCAGTGGCTCACCTCCTAGCACTTTGGGAGGCTGAGGCAGGCAGAAAGAACACCAGGTAAGGAGATCGAGACCATTCTGGCCAACATGGTGAAACCCTGTCTCTGCTAAAACACAAAAAATTAGCTGGGCATGGTGGTCCACGCCTGTAGTCTCAGCTACTTGGGAGGCTGAGGCAGGAGAATCGCTTGAACCTGGGAGGCAGAGGTTGCAGTGAGCTGAGATCGCACCACTGCACTCCAGTCTGGTGACAGAGCGACCCCGTCACACACACACACACAAAGATTCTATCAATTATTTTAGATCTTTTCCTCTCTCCCTAGGACTTTGTCTCAAGAGAAAAGCTCGTATCCTTTTCCCAGAAGTCCACCAGTTTATTCCCTCCTGAAGAACAAGAAGCCTTCCACCCTTTCTACCTGTTAGGAATCTTCAGATAAGAAAACAGTGACCAGAATGAGAAGCATTGTTGCCCAGGCTGGAGTCAGTGGTGTGAATTCCCAGGCTCAAGTGATCATTCCACCTCAGCCTCCCCAGTACTCCCAAGTAGCTGAGACTACAGGTACATGCATGCACCACACCCAGCTACGAAAAGCATTTTTGGGTGCCTGTTAATCACTAGCCAGTGCCGTACATTACTTTTAAGCTTCAGAGTTACAGTTACCATCCTCATTTGACAGAGGGGGAAACTTAAGCTTGGAAAAAATTAAGTAATTTACTATTAGTTCCATAGAGGATAGAGCTGAGATCAGAGTCAAAGCCTGTCTGGTTCAGGTCTCATGTTCTAAATCTGTCTTAAATGCTGCTTATTCTTACTTTTCATTCTTACTCCTAAATCTTATTTCTTTTAAACTAGACATTTCTAGTCTGTTTCTGAGCTTCTACCAGCCCCTGTAACATTTTTATCTTAGCACGTGACACCATGTATTGAAATTGTTGAACAATGTTTTTTTGTGTTTTGTTTGTTTGAGATGAAGTCTTGCTTTGGGGTGCATGCAGTGGTGTGATCTCAGTTCATTGCAACCTCTGCCTCCCAGGTTCAAGTGATTCTCCTGCCCCAGCCTCCTGAATAGCTGGGACTACAGGCATGTGCCACCACGCCCAGCTAATTTTTGTATTTTTAGTAGAGACGGCATTTCACCATGTTGGCCAGGATGGTCTCGATCTCTTGACCTCATGATTCACCTGCCTCGGCCTCCCAAAGTGCTGGGACTACAGGTGTGAGCCACCATGCCTGGCCAACAATGTTTTAATCAGATCCAACCTCTGTACTGTCAGAACCTAGCACAGTGCCTGATATACACTAGAAATGTTTATTGAACTTATACAATATATTTTTTCTGTTGCTATATATTTACCCTTTTATCACCACTGGTGGCCTCCCTAGATCCCACAGCTGGAAAAGCTGAGAAGCACATGAACCTGATGAGGAATGGTAGTATCAAGTTGGGAATTAGGGGGAGTTAGAAAATGTCCAGGCTCAAATCTGCTATTGAGGGAAGCAGCGTTTGATTCTGGTCTGATTCATTAGTACTCACTTGGATTCCCAAGAGTGGGGAACTACTTTGCTTCTTAAGGCATTTTGTCTTCGTAAACACTACCATAGAACATCTATTCACAAATGAATAGACAGTAGAATGAATAAGAAAGGCTTCACTCAAACTTTGTTTAACCAAGTGCTATTCATTTGGAAACTATTGTTTTTTCCTAATCATGTAAAGTGAACTTAATGTGTTATAGAATCCAGACAAAGTAGAAAATCAAAATTATTTTTATCAAAATCCTAATTTTTATTTCAATTTCAATTTTATTTTCTTAAGGCAAGGTCTTGCTTGCTCCGTCACCCACGCTGGACTGCAGCAGTGCAATCACTGCTCCCTGAAGCCTCGGCCTTCTGGATCCCATTGATCCTCCCACCTCAGCCTCTTGAGTAGCTGGGACTACGAGCATGCTGCCATGCCCTGCTAATTTTTAACATCGCTGGTTTTTTTTTTTTTTTTTGTAGAGATAAGGTTTCACTATACTGCCCAGGCTGGTCTAAAACTCCTGGGCTCAAGTGATTCTCCTACCTCGGCCTTCTAAAGTGCTGAGATTCTAGGTGTGAGCCACCATGCCAGCCTCAAGTTTAATTTTTTATCAAATCAATATGAGTATATGTTTATTGACAGTTTTAGTACCACTTAAAATGAAAACTGCCGTTTTTCATCTCTAAGTTCCATTACTCATATTTAACCCTTTAATTACTGTATTTCTTCTGGTGTATATCTCTAAATAGTATCTTTTTAGTGTTATTTCTTCACTTTTATTTTAGATGTTATCTATTGCCTCTCTCTCTCTCTCTCTCTCTCTCTCTCTCTCTCTCTGTGTGTGTGTGTGTGTGTGTGTGTGTGTGTGTGTGTGTGTTTTCCATAGACAGAGTTTGGCTCTGTTGCCCATGCTGGAGTACAGTAGCACAATCATGGCTCACTGCAGCCTCAACCTACTGGGCTCAAGTGATCCTCTCTCCTCAGCCTCTTGAGTAGTTGAGACTACAGGCACATGCCACCATAGGAGGCTAATGTTTTACTTTTTGTAAAGACAGGGTTTTGCCATGTTGTCTAGGCTGGTTTTGAACTCCTGGACTCAAGCGATCTTCTCACCTCAGCCTCTCCTGTTGGCTTTTTCCTATGGGAAAAGGGAATTCAGCTTTCTTAAATCACCCTGACACACTTCCCCCTCTGTTTTCTCATATAATAGTTGTATCAAAAACCTTTCGGTTGGTATCAGTGTTCAATGTTTGCACTATTGAGAGCTTGCAAATGTTATTCACAACTGAATTATGTTGTGCACTAAAGCAATTGTTCTCTTATCTTAGATTTTTTGTTTTCTTTAGGGTTAATAGCCATTTTGTGTTGTTTGCTTAGTTTTTTTTACACCTATCAATAATTTAGCCCCAAACTTTCTAATCGAATAGTACAGCTTTATTTCATTTGACAGGCACAGTAGTTAATTCCTACTTTACCACCTTGGTCCTGGAAGCCCAGTTCATTTTCAGTACATAAATCTGAGTTTGTGTTTTGTTTTTATGAAATTGGGATCCTACTGTACACACTTACACTGTATTGTAAGTGGATTTTTCACCAAGCAATGCATCACGAACATCTTTCATGCCTAAAACAACCTATTTAACGGATGCATAGTATTCTATTGCCTGAACGTACCGTAATCCATTAAACTAATTGCCCGTTGTGACACATTTACACAGTGTTCAATTTTTCACTTTTATAAACAACCCTGAGTCTCAGACTCCTGAAGCCCAATTTTGCCTAATTATTTTCTAAGATAAATTCTAAGATTGAATTGCTAGGCCAAATGATATGTAGATTATTCAGGATTTGACACAGACTTTCCTCCAGCAATAGTGTTGAGTTTGAGAAATAGTGCCAATTCTGGGCTTTGTCATCTTAAAACATTTCATCAGTCTTAATGCTAATTATTTTAATTACCATTTATTTAATAACTCATGAGATTGTGTATGTTCTTATATGCTGATTTGATATTTTGGCTCTAAATTTTGTGAATTGCCTATTTGCATCCCTCATTCATTTTATTCCCTGCTGCTCCTTTATAAAACCTCTCCACTTGAGTTTGTAATCATTGCCTTGCCAGACCTATTTTTTTGTATTCTAGCTCTTTTGTCTCTTTTCCCATGCTGTTTTCATAATTTCTTTAACCATTCACCTGTCCATGCATCTATCTAATATTTATTGAGCACCTATTACAGTCTTCAAGGAGTTGTGAACACCATAGGCAAGACAATGTTATCACTCTTATGGAACTTACATTTTAGAAAAAGGAGACATCATAAGTAAGCAAAAACAGAAATATCAGATTGTAAGTGTTACAGAGAGGTTTAATACTAGGTATCATGCTAGGGAATGATAAGGCAAGTCCTTTAGATCGAGCAGTTAGGGAAGGTGCCTCTGAGCAGGTGACACTCCAGGACACTTTAGGTCTTAGTGACACACGGAAGCCAGCTATCTAGTACAACATTCCAGGAGGAAGGAAGAGTATGCATAAAGCTCCATTTCCTGCCAATCTGAAATACAGATTTTTAAAGGTTAAGTCCCAGTCCTATGAAGCTTTTTTGAACCCTTTCGGCCCATAGTGATAGAGGCAAGAGACGGAGAAATCTCCTAGGCAGAGAGGGGAGGATCCCCAAAAATCTCGAACTTGCCAAGGTCATTGTGCACAGGGGGCTTGCTAAACATGCCATAAAAGCCTCTGTCCTTTCACACATGTGCACTAAGGGAAATAAATCAATGTGGAGTGGCTCAGAGTAAGGGCTCGCATAGGCCCTGGAAGGGTGGGGTGGAGCTGCCAGGAATTCTCGACTTGTACAAATAGGGAACCCGGCCCTATTAGCAGATATGGAAGCCCTTATATTCAACTGTGAGGGGGGAAAACTGGCAACCTGCTTTCAAGACCCCTCTTTTTGCTGAGAGCTTTCCTTTTCGCGTAATAGATTCTCCACTTATTCTTCGATGTTGTCATGCTTTATTTTTCCTGGTTGTGAGACAAGAACCTGGATCTAGCTGAGCTAAGGAGTAAAAAATCCTGCATCGGCAGCAAGCACTGTTTTAATATCATATAATTCTCATTGTCTGAACTACTTATTTGTCCTTTTTAATTTATAGACTCATATAATAATTCATCTTAGGTTTATTATACAGGTTCAGCATCTTGAATCCAAAAACCAAAACGTTCCAAAATCTGAAACTTTTTGAGTGCCAACATGACATCATGAGAAGAAAATTCCACGCCTGACACCTTTGCTTTCTAGAGGTTCAATGTAGACAAACTTTATTTCATGCAAAAAATTATTTAAAATGTCATATGAAATTACCTTCAGGCTATGTGTATAAGGTGTATATAAAACATAAATGAATCTTGTGTTTAGACTTGGGCCCAACCCCAAGATATTTCATTATGTGTATGTAAATATTCCCACAGCCAAAAAAATCTGAAATTTAAGACACTTCTGGTCCCAAGCATTTTGGATAAAACATACTCAACCTGTATTTTCTGTCTCAGATAACTCTAAGTTTTTTTTTTTTGTTTGTTTTTTGTTTTGAGAGGGAGTCTCGTTCTGTCGCCAGGCTGGAGTGCAGTGGTGCAATCTCGGCTCACTGCAACCTCCATCTCCCAGGTTCAAGTGATTCTCCTGGCTCAACTTCCTGAGTAGCTGGGACTACAGGCACACACCATCACACCCAGCTAATTTTTGCGTTTTTAGTATAGATGGGGTTTCACCATGTGGGTCAGGATGGTCTCAATCACCTCACCTTGTGATCTGCCTGCCTCAGCTTCCCAAAGTGCTGGAATTGCAGGTGTGAGCCACCGCAGCCGGCCTAAGTTCAAGAGTTTCATAAGGTGAAGGGACTATATCTTGTATTTGTTAGTGAAGATAAACTTACCTGATGTACACTAGATGCTCATACTTATATTTTCTAGTAATATATAAAATTATGATCTTGGTTGCTTCCTGTAGATTTGTCTAATTCAGTCTTTGAATGCCTGGGAAGGAGCTATGGCATATGAGGTCTTTGGTTCAAATAGGCTAGAAAAAAGAAAAGTCATTTACTGCAGAATATAAAATTAAATTAAAAAGCTAAGGCATTCACTCTTTTCTTGATGTTATTGCAAATAACAGTTCACAGCTGAACTATATAAAGTTTCTTAATGAAACCTTTACAAGAAAGTGAATCAATAGAAGAAAAAGTCTAGGCCAGAAGAATAATTTCAATAACTAGTGTTTGAAAACGAGTAGGTCACTATTTCTGTGCAAGTGTGTGTGTGTGTGTGTGTACGTGTGTGTGTGTATGGGTGTGCATGGAGTGTTTAAATAGTGTCCTCTATGTGCTTTGGCATATGCTGGGGAGTGTCAATGGAAGAGAAATTGTTGTATGAAAAAAATATGGTTATCACCTTCAAAAACCATGCACTTTATTGAAGAAAGATAAATGACAAGTACCTAAACTCAGAAAATTGCTAGGAACCTCTAGAAACTTCAATAACATCTGCAATAATGTAATCAATCAATCTTATACTTAAGGGCCCAAGAGTGCTAAGTATACAGCCAGGAATAAGGAAACAGATGGCTTCCCATACTGGCAGTGGCAGAAGACTAATTGTTGGCAGAGATTGGTGTGTGTGAGGTGTGTGTGTGTGTGTGTGTGTGTGTGTTCTGATGCATGTCAGACACACTGGAGCTGGAATTCTGACCAGTTTCCTCTCACTCACCTTTTAATGATCTCATCCACTGTTATTTGTATCTCAGTGAGTGATTTTCTGGTTCTTATAACTTCAGGTTTAATAACCCAGAAACCAGTTAGGAGATAAAGTTTCAGAAAAAAAGGAGACACCAAACCCAAAATGTTTTCAAGCACACAGAAATGCAAAAACATCGAGTGCTCCCAATAAGAGAAGATACTTCGTGTCATTGAGCTCTGGAAACATTTAAGAAGTGTTTGGATTACGTGACTCATGAAGAGATAAGGATTGGTAAAAGCTAAGCTAGGTCAATACAAAGACTCGATAAATAAAAAGGGAAAGAATGGTAGCACCGCAGAAGGAGAACAAGAACATCTTTGGAACAGGTAAACAATTGATGTGGAATCATGATCAAGATGTTCCTGTTTGAGGTGGAAGCTCAGCTCCAGAAATTAATGATAGTGTGACCTTGAGCAACTTATTGAACCGCTAGGTGCTTTTGTTTGTTTGTTTGCATTATTTGTGGAATGGAGACTTACTTAACAGATAGTTTTTGGGCACCTATAATGTACCATACTCAGTCTCAGGTACTCAGACATTGTCTTAGGCACTAGCTAGCAGTCACTTTCATTAACCCATAAATGTAAAGAGCTGAGAGCACTACTATCATTATGAGATGCAGAAATGAATTTTAGATAGGGAAGAGGATGGAAAGTATGGCAGACAGAAGTGAACAGGCTGCTGTCAGTGTCAAGGGAACAAGAAAGCAAACAGGGAATGCCATAATACAATTTACAATGGAATCAGAAACAGCAAAGAAAACACTACTTAGTACATAGATGTTAAACCAAAGCCCATGTGGAAACATACTTGGCTTTCCTTTCTCCAATCGGCTCTCATTTGGGTCTATCAGTATATCTACCGTGCTGCTATGTGACTGTCTCAAACATCCCGCAAGAGTTACGGCCATCCTCAAAAATTTAACTTCCAATGACTTCAACTCAAACTACACATGTCTAATTTGGGCATTCAAGATACTTATAAAAATACTTTTAACTATCTTTTCTCCCTTATTTTTCACCTGACTCCTACATTTGGGGTCGAAATCACAGAAAGCTTTTGAATGGCCTGACAGTCTTTTAAAGATTATTTGGCTGTAGTATAATCTATTATCTACTACTTTCTGCTTTATGCAGTTTCAATACCACAGACATTTGAGTTTATGAACATTTTCCTTTATAAACAAGCTAATAACCCATTCTGATTAAACTTGCTTTACTTTTTTTTTTTCCTTTTTACCTTTAGAGGTAGCAGAGTACCTTGTACTCATTACATGCTTAATAAATATTAATTTGCTCTCTCTTTTTCCTTATCTGTACTTATGTTTCTTGCTGTTTTTGGAATGATCTCCAGTTGTTCTTTGTTTGCCCAAATAATAACCATCCTTCCAGGACCAAATCAAAAGTGAACTTCTTCGAAGCCTTCCTGTCACTCTCGTCACAGGTGAGATGGATCTATTCCCCTTCAAAGTATGACTTAATCCAGAAAATGTATACACTGTATTTCTCAAATGTTATAGAACTCTACCTGTTTTATGGAAGTTTCTCTTTGTATCAATTTTTTAGATAAACAAACAAAGACTAATGAATTAAATCTGCCACAGAATAATCCATCAAATGGCTAGAAAGGTGAACGATCAAAATTCCGCAGTTGATGGAGTTACAGATGATTTTAAATCCTCTTCCTTTTGTTTTTCTTTTTTCTAATTTTCTACAATAAGTAGGTATTACTTTAGTAACCCAAAAGTAAAAAACTATGATGTAACCTAACACACATAATGTACACAAGGTACATTTGTGTAAGTGTGGCTATTTGTGGCTGCAAATGCAGTCTTTGAAGACAATGACTGTGTTCTATTAATTTCTGTATCCACAGTATTCACTTAGCACCTGATGCATACTAGCTACTCAAGAGACTAAAAAGGGATTTTCTGAATCAGTGGAAGAATGGGCGAAGTCTTCAGCAGAAATGGGCCATTTGAGGTCTGTTAAAGTCTGAGTGGTTAAGGAGAGAGCTTATTTGGGTCCTTCAAGGCTTTTCTCCAGGCTTTCTGCCCCTTGCCTGTACACAGAGTAAGTCTGTATTTAGAGTAATGTGATTCAAAGGTCACATTTATTAGCAAATAGCTGTGTTTATAAATTTAGTTTGTCAAAAAAAAAAAGGAGACTTTGAAATTAATTCTGTTTGCTGAAACTAGCACCAAGTTCAACCAATAGTACAAACTCAGCCCAGGTAAGTGAATTTCCAGCCCATGTGGCTTTTACTGTCTCATGCTCCTCACTCATTCCTTTGTATATTGTTTTTCAAACTTGATGTTTTTACAACATGACTGGATCTTTAGGCTGAAATTTACCTACTTAGTGTTCATTTGCTATTGCTGTGACATTCTGCATTTAAAAGTTTACTGAGTGGAGAAGATGGATTTCAGAACCTGGTGTGATTTTTTCCCCTATCCGGGTCAGCCACACTGCAAGGCCCTGGTCTCTTTTCTTGACAGAATCCAAAGACTGTGGGACTAGGCCTGCTGTTCTGCTGGTGTTCTCACATCTCTGCTTCTGAGCACGCTGCTGGAAAGGCTATCCTGAGACACTGGTGGACTGGATCTCTGACCGGGGAAAAAACTGCTCAGAGACAAAAGCTGTAAGAGGCATGTTCTGGCATGAATGATACTGGCTCTTCTGGCCCCCAGATTGCAGATCCCCAGAGAAGACTATGGGTAAAAGATGACTTCAGGAGTAGAACTTCAACTTAGGAAGAGCTCACCCAACCCAGAGATTTTTTACGTATCATTTGGTTGATTTTAGTTCATGAGAGCCTAGGAGATGTTGGAATAATTACTAACAATCCTGGCCAGGGAAATTAGGAAGCCCATCCCCTAATTAAAATTCAGTGTAGAGGAATTGACCACCATGAATGATTGAATTCAATTCCTTGAGAAGAAGACAGAGAATTTCAAACTATTTCCTACAACAAGTGAGAGCACACAGTTGTACCAAGTGAGGGGGTTTCCCCAGGCAATATTGGTGGTGGGTTAGGATGTATGGGGCCAGAGGCTGTTTTATTCTCATTTGGGTGAGAGAAATGGATAGGGGATGATAATGATGCATGAGTCTTCTTTCAAAGTAATCACTGAGGGAGACTCTCCATTTTCGTTTTCTTCACCAAAGTGCCTCAAAACGCTTAAAGAATTCCACTTGGGAATTATTTCGGAACTAGTTTATATTTCCTATCTCATCACTCTACAATTGCACCTCATTTTTAACCAAAATATCATTTCCTGCTTCATCAACCACCTTATTCATCAGATATGGCTCTGGATGATTTTTGGTTGTTTCCAAAAATGAAATTCATCCTCAAAGCTTAAAGATTTATGCTACTGAAGCTCGTGAAGAAATGTGCCATCAACTCTGAAGAACTGAAGAGGAGTCCCAGATATATTTTGGTATTGAAAAAAAATTTACATCTCATTATTTGCAATCTCATACTTTTTCATATCTTCTTCTCTTATATTGCTTTGAAGACGAAACTCAGATCTGTATAAAGTATTTCAAGCATATTAACCAAAGAGTTGTGCTTAATCCAGGCATCTGTAACTAAATTTCTGTCTATAGTATCTCTAAAAAAGAAATAAAGTGGAAAGACAGATTGAGAAAAAATAGAAGTGTGTATAATTAAATCATGAAAGAGTGATGGATACATGGTTTATTCTATTCTGTGTGGCCTCTGCCAACTTTGTGTACATTATGTGTGTTAGGTTACATCATAGATTTATTACTTTTGGGTTACTAAAGTAATACATACTTATTGTAGAAAATTAGAAAAAAGAAAAACAAAAGGAAGAGGATTTAAAATCATCTATAGTAACTCCATCAACTATGGAATTTTGATCTTTCGCCTTTCTAGCCATTTGATAGATTATTTTGTGGCAGATTTAATTCACTAGTGTTGTTGTTTGTTTATTTAAAAAATAGCTACAAAGAGAAACTTCCATAAAACAGGTAGAGTGAATTGCATTAACTTTTAGTCAGTTCTTTCTTCCTTTCCTTATAGGAAACCACCACCTTGACTTTTATATACTCAGGGTTTTTGTTGCTGTTGTTTGTCTTTATAGTTTTCTCATCTAAGCCAAAGTAATTTTCCTTTTCTTCTCTACTATTATAACTATAAAATCATGGATTTTTATTTATTCAAGTGTAATTATTATTCTCTCTTACACTCAAATTGTCCTGCATATGGCCAGTGGGAGCTTCATTGTGGGAAGTAGAAAAGTTCCTTTTTAAAGTTTCCTTTCTTGTTAAAGAATAAGTATGTTAATAATTCTTTGTTAAGCACTATCCTATGTAGCTGTTAAACATGCCATGCTTACAGGCACATAGTACATTCTATGTCCTTGTATTTTAACAAAGGTATCTGTGCTGGATGTGCTCACAGGCATGTCCCAGCTCTCCATTGCTTTTACCTGTTTAAAAGAGTTTTAAGTTGTTAGCCAGTCAGGTTTAAGTGCAGATTGTGAGGTCTGGCTCCAGCCAACGGAGATCAGATATAGCAGTAAGGACAACCCCAAATACGTAAGAAATAAATTTGTCTGTTGTCCTCTGTTCATTGTACTCTTGTGGCACAATGGCTAGGGAGAGTACCCTTCCTGCAGTCCAGGAAGTAAAAATTGCATTGCTGAAAGATCCTTTGTCTCAGTGCTAATTTTTCTTTGTGGCACCAAGCATTTGTTTCTGATATCTATTACCAACATTCATCAGGCAGTTTCTGGGACCTTCTTTCACAATCCTGCTAGCCCAAACACTCCTTTGCTTTCTGATCCAGCAAGACTTTGCTGCCCTGAATGTTTCTCTAAGGACCCCTGGTTTGTGTTAGGGGTAATGGTTTTTAGGAATGCAGATCTGGGAGCTTCATGCACTTTGTTATTGAGATGTCAGTGTTCCTTCAGAGGACAGAACTAGGAAATATATGTACATACATATTTTGTGCTCATATTGATATTTCAAATTCAAATGTGGCATTGCTATATTTCACAAATTCTTTGCCGTTATATTTTGGGTCTCTTTTATTTCCAGGCTTTTTCTCTGTGTGTGATTGCATACATGTGTACAGATGTGCATGTATGTGTGTTGGATATACTTGACAATTTACAAAATGATCACTGCACAAGTAGAAAGTGCTAGATAGGAAGCAAGATAATGCTTTAATGGTGACAGGCCCCTGCTGGTACGGGAAAGTGTTTGGGGTCAATGTAGAAGGTCCAGATCATCTCACCATGAATAAGTGGAGAATAAGGAAGACACTGTTTGTGTCAGGGCTGGGCTGGGTTGAACAGGGTACTGGGACTCGTGTCAGCCTGTGGAACTCCTTAGGGGAAACCCCATCAACTTAGTGGTCCGCATTGCTGACCTCCAGACAGGTCTTTTGAAAGAAGACTAGGATGAACATCCCTGCAGAGCAATCTTTTCCCACATTTATCTGATAAATGTAGATACTTCTCTTATAAATTATGAAAATCGAAAAATGTCAGTGTGTATACCCAATTTTAAAGCTAAATACTGATGCATATTACTAAACTGAACACACAAAAGATGGTATCAATTTATGGCTCTATAAGTGGCATACATTTAGTCTAGAATTTGGTCAATATTTGTATTGGGACCACTTCTTTTTTTTCCTTTACTTATCACTTACTTCTTCTGTGTGCTACTATGATACATTCATATTTCTTTTAAGCAACATATGATTGGATTTCATATTTTAAGCCAATTTACATTTAAAGTTTTAACTTATATCTAACCTTTTAGTTGATCTCTGCTTCAGGAGGCAAAATTCTTGCTCTTGTCAATCTATTTTATAGCAAATGGTGATTCCTACCAGATTCTGACATTAGGTTGTGTGTCCATCTCTCTTAGGAATGTGTGGATAGTCCTTTTGGTGATTTATTTCCTTTTTTTAATATTTTAGCTAAAAATGGCAAGAGCCTGCATTGTATGCTGTCAACAGAATGTGATTGTTTTTTAAAAGAAGTCTCTCTCTGTTCCCCAGGCTAGAGGGCAGTGGCTCGATCTCAGTGCACTGCAACCTCCACCTCCTCAAGTAGCTGGAACTATAGGCATGTGCCACCATGCCTGGCTCAAGTGATTCCCCTGCCTCAGCCTCCTGAGTAGCTAGCATACAGGTATGCACCACCATGCCCAGCTAATTTGTGCATTTTTAGTAGAGACAGGGTTTCACCATGTTGGCCAGCCTGGTCTTAAACTCCTGACCTCAAGTAATACACCCCTTTCAGCCTCCCAAAGTGCTAGGACTCCAGGTCTGAGCATCCACACCCGGCCAGAATGTGGTTTTTTGAATCAGAAATTTCTTGTATTGAAAGTAAACTTTACACTATTCTTAAGACATATTACTTTCAGAATAAACTAATATGTGTGTATGTGGTTTATACTTACTATTGTGGGGAGGTAGGGGATTTTTAAATCATTTCATCACTTTATTACTTTCTTGGAAAGAAATCTGAAAACTTTATTTTGGAGAGAATTATTTGCTTAGGCCATAGGTCCTCTTCCATATCATTCTGTTATTACTAAAGTCATAATGGGTTAGAAAGTCATAAGGATACAAGATGTAATTAAAAAGAGCCACAAATACGTATTCCGAAACCAACAGGAAAAGACTAAAGATACTGCATGGGACCAAAAAATTGCTCATGCTATAAATTTGTATTTGTCTTAAGTCATTATTATTTTATACATAGCTTAAACATTAACATGCTTGATTCATTTTGGGATTTTCCTTGCCAAAATTACAACTAATCCTTATGTTTTGGATGTTGATGTTTATGAGAGGATTATTTCCATCCCGTTACTAATTTTTACAGAGGAGGGTTTGAGGGGAAGTGGGGCAATTTGCTCTAGATCATCTGGGAGGCCAGCTGTGAAGTAAACTGGATTAATTTTTCTCAATTTCCTTTTCTGAAGGAAAGCTTTTTGTGAAGACTAATTTTCCATTTTACCCAAACCTGAAGCTCATCATGGAGAAGGGAGATGTTTTTTGTGTGAGGACTGGGCTGGCTGAACAGGGTACTGAGTCTCGTGGTCCTAGGGAAACCCCATCAACTTAGTGACCCACATCGCTGACCTCCAGACAGGTCTTTTGAAAGAAGACTGAATAACAGTAGATCAGTTTTATTTTTAAACTTCATTTAGCTTGTAGACAATCCTGCATGTGCATGAATGTACATTTACTGAAGCAGAGACAACCTAAGGAGGGTTTGTGGGAGTTAGGGCACCATCAGTGACTGAAACCTGCTGTCTCTTGAGAATCACATTGGCAGGGTACAGAATAATATGGTTCTCAAACATCTTGGTCTCAGGATCTACTTCTACTCTTAAAAATTACTGAGGACCCCAAAAACTTTTTGTCTAGTTGCACTAAATATATTGGGACTGGTTATACTAGATATTAACATTTTGAAAGCTTTGCTTAAAAATAACAAGGGCGCGGTGGCTCACACCTGTAATCCCAGCACTTTGGGAGGCCGAGGAGGGTGAATCACCTGAGGTCAGGAGTTCAAGACCAGGCTGGCCAACATGGTGAAACACCATGCCCAGCTAATTTTTGTGTGTGTTTTTAGCAGAAGCAGGCTCCTGTAATTCCAGTTACTTGAGAGGCTGAGGCAGGAGAATCACTTGAACCTGGGAGGTGGTGGCTGCAGTGAGTCAAGATGGCACCACTGCACTCCAGCCTGGGCAACAGAATGACATTCCATCTAAAAAAAAAGTTTAAATGAATTATTTTAAAAATACCATATTTACCAAGATAAACATTGTTAGCAAGAAGAGGGGCATTGTTTTATCATTTTGCAAATCTTAGGAAATGTGTGTCTAGTAGAAGACAGCAGTATTCTCATATTTGTTCCTGTATTGTATCTATGGATATCACATGTCATGTGGCCTCTGGAGCAAGCCACCATATACTCACAAAAGAATGTGAATGAAAACAAGAGAAAGAAGGTCTTCATATTATTATTAAAATGATTTTGATATTACAGATCTTCTGAAAAAGTTTTGGAGTCCCCCAGGGGTGCTGAGAGCACACTCTGAGAACCATTGGTGGAGGAAGGTGCAGTGGAGTCAAGAGCACTGGGAATTACAAACTAAGGTTTGTGAACAAAAAAACAGCTTGATCTTTGTAATTTTGTTTTTAGAAACTGATCTCCAATGAACTGTTAAATATCAGCTAAGTTTGTAAACAAACATTTACAAAAGTTTAATAAAATCATTCTGATTTATTATCAGAACTCTAAATCCTTACATATAACTGCTACTCAACATCTCTATTTGGATGTCTAATAGACATTTCAAACTCAACTCGTTGAGAATTTATCTCCTAATCTTCCACCCTTAACTTCCTCCTGCTGTGGCATCACCCATTTAGTTAATAGCGATTTCATCATTATAGTGGCTCAGGCCCAACACCCTAAAGTTATTTTTAACTCCTCCTTGGAATCACTGTGGTCTGAGCCACTAGCATCTCTCACCTGGGTTACTCTTACCTGTTCTCTCTGCTCTCACCTTTCCTGACCTAATCCCCTTTATCCTGTTTTTGTTAACAGCCAGAACGATCCTTTTAACACCTAAGACCATGCACTTTTCTGCTCAAAACTATGTGATGACTCCTCCTTTCAATCAGAGTGAAGGCTGACATCTTAAAATGCCCTTAAGACCTTACCCTTTCCTTCTCAACCTGTTCCTCTAGAGCCAGTGGCTCTCTGCCCCGCCCCCACACTGCTCCAGCCACAGTGGACTTCTTACTGTTCTTTGGACACACCAGACATGCTTATGCCTCAGGGCCTTTACCCAAGCCCTTGCTGCCATCTGGAATGCTCTTCCTCCTTATATAGTCAAACTCCATTATTTTCAATATTCATTCAGTTAGTAAGCTTCTCACTGTATTCTATTCTGACAACTCTACTTAAAAATATAAGTCCCGGCCCGGCACGGTGGCTCATGCCCATAATCCTAGCACTTTGGGAGGCTGAGGTGGGTAGATTATGAGGTCAAGAGATCCAGAACATTCTGGCCAACATGGTGAGATTCCACCTGTACTAAAAACACAAGAATTAGCTGGGCATGGTGCACCTGTACTCCCAGCTACTAGGGAGGCTGAGGCAGGAGAATTGCTTGAACCCAGGAGGCGGAGGTTGCAGTGAGCCAAGATCACACCACTGCACTCCAGCCTGGCGGACAAGAGGAGACTCCATCTCAAAAAAAAAAAAAAAGCAAGTCCCACCTCCTATACCAGAATGCTTGTCACCACCTTACCATACTGTACTTTAAAATTCTTTCTCACCCTCACCAGGCATTTAAACCCTTCTACTTATTTCATTTATGTTTCTTGTTTCTTGTCTTCCTCTCCTACAGTAAATCCCACAGGTCAAGGGTTCTTGCCAGCATTTTTTCTCTACATAACCCAAGAACTTAGAACAGTTCCAAGCATGTTGTAGATGTATAATAAATATTTGTTAATGAATGGCTGGATAGAATGCCTTAAGAAAAACTAGGGTGACTTGGAATCAGCCCTAGTATATGAGGTTGTTATCAGTTAAAATCAATCATGAGGATTAACTGAGGGTATTAATAATTGAATCTCCTTGCACTGCAAGTGACAAATTCAATTCACCTTGGCTTAAAACAGGAAAGAAAACAAAAGAAATGTGTTTACTTACAGAATAGGTTTTAGTCATGACTGAATCTAGGGAGTCAAATGATGTCACTGGGATTCAGTCTGTTAACTCTTCTTCTTCCATGTCATCCCCCCATTCTCAGGTGGCTTCTCCCTTTATGATAGTAAAGATGTTGCAGGCATCTCCAGGCTTTTTTTTTTTTTTTCCTTTGAGATGGAATCTCCCTCTTCCACCCAGGCTGGAATGCAGTGGCAGGATCTCAGCTCACTACAAACTCCACCTCCCAGGCTCAAGCCATTTTCCTGCCTCAGCCTCCCAAGTAGCTGGGACTACACGCTTGTGCCACCACGCCTGGCTAATTTTTTGTATTTTTAGTAGAGACAGGGTTTCACTATGTTAGCCAGAATGGTGTCAATCTCCTGAACTTGTGATCTGCCCGTTTCGGCCTCCCAAAGTGCTAGGATTACAGGCATGAGCCACCGTGCCCGGCCAGGCATCTCTAGGCTTTTATGTGACCAGCTCAACCACCCAGTGAGAAAGTTACACTTATCTCTGTTGGCTGTCCTTGCTCTGAAGCTCTCTCAAAGGGCATGGCAAAGGAATGTGCACACATCTGTATTTACATCTATGTCTATGTATATAATTGAAAACTGTGTGTTCACTCTGATTCCTCCCATTGCAATCCAACCATACAGGTTTTATTTTAGATTTCTTTCTGTCTCCAGTGAGTATCTCCTTTCTCTGAGAGTGAGAAACTAGGTCCCCATTCCTTATTTACTGATCTGATTGATCCTTCCCCTGCCCATCTTTGCTGCTGACCCTTCCCCAGGTGGACACCCTCCTCACCCTGCAGCTTACCCAGTCCACTCCTTCGCAGAGGCACCATCTTTATTCCTGCTCAGATCTGGGTACTCGGCACCACATTGTCCCATGTGTGATGCCTTCTTACCCTGCTTGGACCACAGGCCGGGACATGCCTTTGTAGAAGTTCTCTTCTTGCCTCTGGGCCTCTGATCCCCCACTCTAAGCCACTCTGTGAGTTGGTGATCTCCTCACCCTGCTGGGGCTGACACCCCGTGCCTCACTGTCTTTCTAGGGGGCGCTCTCTTCTCCTGCTCACACTCTGAGTCCCCATGGCTTGTCACCCACAGGCAAGCACAGATACCCTCCTCGTCTTGCTAGGTTCTTAACACCCAAACTCAGGCTCAGGCAACACACGTGAGACCAGTCCGACCCAGGGATGCTCTTTTCACCCTGCTTGGACTCTGATACTCTTAGAACACCATCTTTTCCTCCCTTTCCTGCATAGATGTGACTTTGTGCGTCTCTATTGATAGTTTTAAGGCTGAGTTGTTCAGGAAGGGAGGAGAAGGGAAGAGGAAGCAGAAGCACCTTTTATCTTCATTTGTGTCTGTCATCACAAGAGACTCTGGACCCGAAGCTGTCCTTGATTTCTGGGACTCGAATACCCACCTGGCTCCAAAGTCTCCACTGCCTTTAATTAGTCCTGGCCCGGGACTCCTCTCCCTTTCCCTGATGTGTTTTCCTCCCTGGCACTTATCACCCTCTGACCTATTTATTACATGAATTCCTCCATTTTCAGCAGTCAGTGCTGTGCTTGGCACATGGAAGTACCAAGAAATATTTCCCTAATGATCAAGTCCTAGAAGAGAATGCAGATGAGTGAGGCTGTCACACGTGGCCTGGGAGGCTCTGGGCCCAGGAATGAACATGAGGGACATGGCTTCACGAAACCACACTCAACTCAGCCCCACCTGCTCAGATTCTCAGCCTCGGTGGAAGTCTTCTGTGCATTCTGCATTCTGTAGTTGCTAGTGCTTCAGTGTCTTTTCATCCCAGCACCCCATCAAGGCCACCTCCTTTGGCCTGTGCAGCACCTGTGACTTATGGGAGCGGACAGACGAGGAAGTGTAGTTAGCATTCATTCATTGCTTCTGTTGTACAGGCTGTCAAAACTAATGAAATTTTATGACAGACGGGCAACGACCAGCTTCCTGGTGTTATTTATCTTTCTCGCTTCTGGCTCAGAGCACTGGGTGATTTTTCATTTACATTTAAAAATGCCAAGATGACTAAGCGCAATTCGCCTACTCAGAAAACTAGCAAATTGTATCAATGCACAAATGTAATTAATAATCATCGGGCATGAGAAATGAGGAGCAGTTAAGCAGGATAGTCTATCTTTCCAATTCCTCTCCCTCTCTCCTACCACCGTTTCAACCAGTTCCCAAACTCCAGGGACATACATCATGTTTTTTTTCTCTTTTTGCTCATATCTGATAGCCAATATTTGCAATGACAAACAAAAGGTCCTTGTGACTGGTGACTTGGGTCCCCATGGCTCAGTAGACATATTTATAGCTGCTTTAGAGGAGATGATGCAAATAGATGTAACACATAAAGAGAAAAAGATGAAAAAAAAGTGGAAAATTTAATGTAAGAGGGAGCGGAGGTCCTGGGAGACAGGTTAATTCTAGAGTGACAAGACCCAAGATTGTGAGACTGTGTTTCTATAACCAAGAGAAACCCACAGAACCAATTCATCATTACAACCTGAAGCTGGGGACTGTATGTGTCTTGACAAATTCCTTTGTATACATCACTGAATTCTCTTATCTCCTCATTCCTGCAGTATGCTATCTGTTTCCTTTGCTCTCATCTCTACCTGCTATTGCAGGATCTCTAGGCTCTGCAATTCCCTGCTCTCCACAAATTACTTCTGGGGGGGTCTCCAGAGGTGTCTCAGATGAGTTCACTAATAAATTGTTAGGTCTTGCATAGCATCTGCATTTTTTTCCTCATTTCTCCTGCTTCCATCAGAGTTTTGCATCCTCAAGTCACCAAAGTGACAGTCCCATGTCCTTTGGAGACCTCTGAGGGTCAAGAGCTTTTCACATTCTGTACAGTCAGGAGAATGCTTTCTCTCCATTTCCAGCATTTTCATATGGACTTTAAAAATTGCCCTGCTATGTTCCAGTGATTTTTTTAGTAAACAGTTTTTGGGCAAGCAGACAAAGCTGAAAGGCAAACCTTATAATACTGTACTCAAAAATCCAAGCATTTGCTGCCATGACTGCTATGACTAAGGTTTTATTATGCGGCCAAGCTTTTCTGCCTCACCTTCTCTCTTTTATAATAGGTTATTTTCCAGAGGGCACCTCATTTTGTTAATGCAAATTGGCATTGGAAAGGCCAGACATGTACAGACATGCCAGCTTCATGGTAGTAGACATTTGTTCAGGCTCAAAATGGCACATCTTGATATGGTGTATGTACACAGAGTCCATAGTGTGCTAGCTGCTCCAGGTGCTGAAAAATGAATCAGACACAGGACACACCCTCATGGACTTTATTATACTAACAGCCATGCAGTAAATAACTATCATAACTAAACAAATGGCAGGGAAAGTGAAAATAAGTGCAACGAGAGAGGTACAGATAATGGGGTAAAGAGGAGAACTGCTTCCTGTGACGTTGAAAATGGAATGGCTTCATACAGGATGCATTAGAGCTGAGCTTTGAGAGGACCTGAACATGTAGAGGAGGGGAATCCAAAAGGTGTTTTGGCAAGAAGGACCCCTGGCAGCAGAAGCAAAGGGTGAATGTTGACAGCAATATGAATGGGTGGACAGGGTTTCAGATTGGCAAAAGCACACCTTGTTTGAAGGGGAATGGTTGGAGAAATCATAGTGGAAATGTGGAGTGAGTCTTCCAGGGGATGTTTACAGTGGGCTGAGATGTCTGTGTCTTATTTTTTATGTAGCAAAATATGTCGAACTAAGATAATATGCTATTTAGAGCCATTAAAAGCCACTGCATAGAGAAGTGTGTTTTTGAATCAGGCAGGTTCACCTGGATCAGCTAGGTGTACCTAGATCAGTGTGTGTCAGATGTACCAGGAGAAGATACCTGGGCAGGCAGATCAGTGGGGAGGTCTCTGCAGTAGCAGAAGACAGGGGTACTAAGATTGAAAGAGACGAAATTCAGAGTAGAAAGATGAGGAGCTTTGGAGAGAGAGTAGATGGATACCTGGAGTAAGGGAAAAGAGAAACTAAGAAGAGGCCTGCATGAGGAAGGAGAAATATGATGTCCAAGAGGCAGAGTGAGGTTCTGAAGGGAACGCAATGAGTTTGCACATTCACAACAACTTTGTAAGGTGAGTTGGATAGGAACGTTCATTCTTAGGATTTTGAAACATCTTTGTTTTTTTATTTGAGTTGGAGTCTCGCTCTGTCACCCCGGCTGGAATGCAGCTCACTGCAACCTCTGCCTCCTGGGTTCAAGCGATTCCCCTGCCTCAACCTCCTGGGTAGCCGGGATTACAGGTGTGCGCCACCACACCCAGCTAAGTTTTTGTATTTTTGGAAGAGACGGGGTTTCACTATGTTGACCAAGCTGGTCTCCAACTCCTGACCTCAAGTGATCCACCAGCCTCAGCCTCCCAAAGTGCTGGGATTAGAGAGGTGTGAGCCACAGTGCCCAGCCTCATTCTTATTTTAAAGGTAGGAGAATTATTAGAGGGAGCAGGTAAGTGTGTGTCCAAGGCGTGTGTTAGAAACGACTCTCAAACCCAAATTTTTGGATGTTAAAACCTTTTCTCTTTTCTCTGTACAATTACAGTTGCATATGTACATGTCTAAAGAGGATGGCAGAAGGAAGATTAAACAAAAAGATGAGTAATAAAGAGTTATGCTGTTGATGAAGAAGACACACACATTGAGTACATGTTAGCAATTATTTCTGGGAGATCCATCAGGCAAATGAAATCTCCTAATCCAATTCAGGAAGGAATTTCCTGGACATGTGGATCCATAATCCTGTTTAACTCCTCCACGAAGAGAGACTAAATTAGAGATCAACTCCAGTAAAAGCAAACTTAGAGGTAACAATTGCGAACAGAGCCTGGGCATCCCCCCCAGGGTCCCAGGCTATCATCTAATAAAAGCCACACCAGTCCAGAAGCCACATGGAAATCACTTTACCCAGAAGCTTCTAGAAGGTCCACGTGTTCATAACCAAGACCCTGGTAACAGATCTATTGCTCTTGGTTATCTTAGGTGGTAGCGGTCTATTTGTGAAGCATCCCTTTCTAGAGAATTTAGATTCTGTCATGGTCTATTTTGCACTGGGGAATGCAGTGGTGCTGTGTTGTTTTTCTCTTCGGCTGGTGAGGAGAAGAGGTGGGAAACTCTAGGCTCACCAATGTCCTATTTGTCTTTCTGTTTGTTGTTGCAACTGGTCTCATTAAATCGGGCAAGAGCTGCCAACATATACAACTCTGGCTTTCCTAATTAAAGTTCTACTGAAAAAAGCTGCCTCTCTCTTCTAACTCCCTCACAGGAATGCACTCTCATAACAGAGGCATCTGCCCCCTGGACTAACCTTTCTTAAAACCAGATAAACAAAGTAATACCAATAAAAATATCCATCTGTGCTTAAAGATAAATAGAGCATTAATATACCAAACTGAGATCTGGATTCTTTTGAACCAGCTTTAATGATATTAGACATCTGTTCCGGCTTGCTTTCCACTCGTTTTCCACGTGCACATTCCTATAGGAAAACCATGTGACAGCAGCTTTTCTGTGGGAAGTGGGGGTGCCACCTGACCCCTGCTCTTTTTCAGGGGACTGCCCCAGGAGAGGGTGGGAGATACCAACGTATAAGCCAATGATGTTCCTCCTTAACATGTGGCACTCTATTTGGGCTTCATCATGGATTTTAAGCACTGTGATTTTTAAAAATTTTTATGTTTGAGATACCAGAATGCCAACTTATCCCTTTACAACAGTAAGTGGAATTTTCAAGTAGACCAGATGCACAAATGTTGGCACAATCGCGGCAGTCTTTCCCTTCCTGGAGTTAAGTCGTATGAGTATCCAAGAAATATCCAGAAGCCATTCATTTACCAGGAGAGAGCATCTTCTCCAGCTGGAAAGATGGGAGGCCCCAGTGATGATTGTTTCTTTTAAAGAGAATTGTACTTGGATGGCAAAAAAAAAAAAAAAAAAAAACCCAAAAAACAAAAAAACAAAAACACCCTCTAAGTGTTTCTTTTACTATTTTGAACACTCAATAAAAATTTCAGACAATGTACTATTGTGGAAAAACTTTCTCCACTTAAATACAGACCTGTTGACCTGGATTTGTTAGATTTGGTGCTAACTCTAAAGTGGCAATGGGCAGATCAGTGGCATAGGGGCCAAGTCGAAAATGTGTGGGGGTGTTCAAAATTATTCCAATCATGGGGTAGATGCCACTGCTTTTTGATGTCTGAAGACCAGCAATGCAGAGGCACAGCAATTCGAGTGGCAGTCTTACTCAAATTGTCTGTTTCAAATGCTGATATAACATGGTATTGAGAAGCACTTACTTTTTCAAGTAATGGACCTTTTTTTTGAAACAAAAATCTTACAGAGGACCCCAGTATGTAAAACTCATTAAAGGAGAGCTATTTTGCCTGACGGGGAGGAGATCCCTGAAATACTTCTAGGGAACATAGTTTGAGAACCACGATTTTAGCTGATACCAAATGGCCATACTGCTTTAATATTCTGATCCTACAACGTTATAAGGACTAAGTAGTTTAATTTGTCTTAAACTATAACTTCTATAATTATATTCATCTCAACATTTTATGGGGAAAGTTTTAAACACACAGAAAAGTTGAAAGAATTGTTAACAACTAGATACACACCTGCTAGATACGTACCCACTAGATTCTACAATTGCCACTGTTTTTCTCATCACACATCTCTCCTCATGTGCCAATTCACCATATTTTTAGATGCATTTCCAAGTAAGTTGCAGGCATCAGTACATTTCACCCCTAATACTTCAGCATGCGTGTCAAGCATTAGCTAGAGCTCAATATTTGTTTATAGTTCTATTTTAGAGGTCAAATTTGCATACAGTGAAGCATATCTGAATAGATCTTGTGTCCAGTTTGATGAGTTTTAAAAATACAGTCACATAGCCGAAACCCTCATCAAAATACAAAATATTTCCATTACTCCTGAATCTTCTCTCATGGCCCTTCCCACCAGCCCCACACCCATGGTCCGTCCATTCCCTCATTTCTAGCAGCCATTGTTCTCATTTTTTTCAGTGGGCTCATTGAGTCAGTACTCCAGCGTCTGACTTCTTTCACACAGCACAGCACTTCTGAGACTCTTCCATGTTGCTGCTTTCATCAGTAGTTCTCTCCCTTTAATCCAGTGGGCGGTGATTTTGGCCACAGACTGAAGACAACTTTGACTTTAGTGATTCATGATCTGATGCTTCCTGCCAGGCCACTCTTGTTAATCCTAGCAGTATTGGCTTGGTCTAAGCACCAGCAAATGATCTGCTGATGGAGTTCATTCAGTCACATTACCTGAAAGTTAGATGAGAGGTCGTTGGAACTGGTGTCTGTCGGGACAGGGCAAGCTGTGGCCACACAGCCATCATTGGTGGCTCAGGCCCATCAAGAACACAGCTCTCTTCTACTGCCCACAAGCCAGAAGGCTGGACTAAACCCTTGATGCCCCCATGCTCTTTTTTAAATTGCAGTAAAATATATGCAACATAAAATGTACCATTTTAACCATTTTTAAGCGCATTAAGTGTATTCACAGTGTCGTACAACTATCTCTAGAACTCTTTTCATCTTGCAAAACTGAAACTCTGTGCCCATTAAAATGCTAACTCTCCATTCCTACCACCCCTTATCCCTCAGTACCTACCACTCTACTTTCTGTTTCTATGAATTGAATCCTCTAAATAACTCATACAAGTGAAATCAGAGTATTTGTCCTTTTTTTAACTTTTTTTTTTTTTCTGAGACGGTCTCACTCTTGTCACCCAGGCTGGAGTGCAGTGTCCCGATCTCAGCTCACCGCAACCTCTGCCTCCTGGGTTCAAGCATTTCTCCACCTCAGCCTCCTGAGTAGCTGGGATTATAGGCGTGCACCTCCACATCTGGCTAATTTTTGCATTTGTAGTAGAGGCAAGGTTCCAATAGTTACACCATGTTGGCCAGGCTGGTCTCAAACTCCTGAACTCATGATCCTCCCGCTTCATCCTCCCAAAGTGCTGAAATTACAGGCATGAGCCACTGTGCCTGGCCTTGACTGGTTCATCTCACTTGGGATAATGTCTTCAAGGTTAAGCCATGTTGTATGTCAGAATTTTCTTCTATGTAAGGCCGAATAATATTCCATTGTATGGATATGCCCCATTGTGTTGATCTGTTCTTTTGCCAGTAGACTCTTGGGTTGCTTCTACCTGTTGGTTACTATGAATAATGCTGCTGTAAACAAGGACGTACAAATATCTGTTCAAGGGGTCTGCTTTCCGCTCTTTTTGGATATGTACACAGAAGTGGAATTGCTGGATATAAGGTAGTTCTGTGTTTCATTTTTTGAGGGACCACCATACTGTTTTCCACAGCAGCTGCACAATTTCACACTCCCACCAACAGTGCCTGAGGCTCTCAATTTCTCCACATCCTTAATACACTTGTTCTTTTCTGTTTACTTTGCTCTTAGCCATCCTAACAGGCGTGATACACCCTGATGAGTATATCTCATTGCAGTTTCCATCCGCATTTCCTTAAGGATTGGTGAGGCTGAGCATCCTTTGTGGTGCAGCCCATGTGGATTTCACAGGAAGGATGTCTAAGAAGGAACTGTAAGATTGATGGGGTCCACTCAGCAGGAAGGTCAGCTTGGTGGCAACAGAAAGTAGTGAGAGTGGCAGGGTAAGGGCTGAGGTGACAGCCGGAATGTGACGCTGGACTTTTGGGCCATGGTAAGGAGTTTGAATTTGATTCTAAAATAAAAAACAAAAAGAAAACAATGACAAAAAAAAAAAAAGAATTTGATTCTGCATGAGATGGCAACCCCCAGAAGGTTTTGAGTAGGGGCATAGCAGGATCTAGCTGACATTTTCAAAGGATTTCACTTGGGCTTTCTGACCACATGGATTTTTTTTCCCCAATGGGGCATCATCTGGGACTCATTATCCACTGAACACACTTAGCAATAATATTTATCATATCATAAAAACGCAGTGCGGGTAAAAAGATTTACGGCTTACAAAATGCCTCCACATACATCATCTCACTCAATTCGTGAGGCAGTTTCTGCAGCCTCCAGTCTCCTTGGTGGAGTGCCTCTTCTGAGCCGACTCCTAGGATGGGCCCCCCCGGGTGACTCGGCATGCTATGAGAGGAGCCCGGGTGTGCCTCTCGTGATCACAAAGTGTTTTGGACATCTTTGGCAGAGAACACAGCTCTGGCAATAATGTACTGATTTTGAAGTTTTCTCGAAATTAGTCCATCTGTTTATAGCTAAGCCATGGGTGCCTGTGCAGAAATCACCCAGGAGCCATCACGTGTTTCACTTTAAATGCCATGGGTCCTTTGTGCTTTGACACTATAATTTTTTCTTAGTGGGCTATTCATTGTTGCTTTTCTTCATAGAGAGCTCCTGAAGACTCTGCTCAGTCCTAATGAGCTTCAGGACTCTTCCAAAGAGTTTTAGTGGTTCTTCCTCTGGGAGAAGTAGAATTCATGCATACGTATATGCTTTCCCTCACTGTGTATTTATAGTGTCCAAAGTGTAGAGTTAACTATGAGAAACACTGCAGACACAGTGATGAACAGATATAGTGTCTGGTGCCCTGGATCCAGGGAGATTAGACGGATGGACAAAGCTTAGGGAATGTGGACAAGGAGTGAGAGTGGGTGGCACACAACGCTGCATATGCACTCAAAACCTATGAGCAATGCACATGCACATACAAGCCCATGTATGGTAAGATCCCGGCACTGACAGCAGAAGGCTGCATGGGAAGACTTGGCTTCCTTCAAATGCCTGCCAGCAGTCACCTATTCAACAACTTCATTCTTTGATTGAGGAATGAGACCCCAGGTTCAGTTAACCACAGAGAAAATCCTGCAGGGCAGAAGACGGCCCCTGAGACAAACATACTTTTTTTTTTTCTGGAAGAAATGAATGTGTTATGTTTTTGGCAAGAGTCCAAAGTTCCAATAGTTACATTGATTCAAAATTCTTTCCTTACCATATCGTCTAAGTGCCCTTTCTGTTGGCGTCTCACCTGCAAGACTGGGTGAACAGGGCTGGTGGCCTCTGGGTGCCTCTGTGACTGGAGTGTGATATCAGTAGCACTGGAAACAACTTTCCTTTCTTCCTTCTCTCCAGGGCCTTGAGATTCCTTTGGGGAGTGCCAGAGCTTTGGGGAAGCTTTGCAGGATGCCGTGAGCCTCAAATTGGAAATACTACTGAAAGACAAAGCAGTGACTGACAATCGGAGGACACTGTAAATGAGGAGCTCATTCATTTCTCAGGAAACATTTCTTGGGCACCTACTATGTGCCAGGCTCAGGTTGGATGCAGGGGATAGATAGAAAATTCACCTTTCTCCTGGAGCTTATACTCTCTAGGAAGAGAAGAAGACCATAAATGAAAAAGAACAAGCAAATACATAAACAGAAAAAAATATTCAGAGATTTTTTTAAAAGAGGCATGAAAAAAATGTTAAAAGGGCATCAAAGAGAGAAAATTGGTAGTGCAGTCTAGCTTAGATGGATCTCGAACCAGGCTCTGAAACAAAGATTTGAGCACAAGCCATTTATAGAGGAGGTCATGATGAAAATACGTGAAGAGGAGTGACAGAGTGGTCAGAGAAACCCTCAGGTGGAATCACAGATGTTGGGTCAGGAGATTGTGTGGCTGGTGCTGAGCTGATGTGATGAAACCAGTAGTGCTCGTTCTACCAAGCACAATGTCACTGGGCACCACAATTCTGCAGACCTGAGACTAAGGGTGAGTAGGCGAGGCGGTAGCCATGGAGAGAGAGAGAGAGAGAGAGAGAGAGAGAGAGAGAGAGAGAGAGAGAGAGAGAGAGAGAGAGAGAGAGGGAGGGAGGGAGGGAGGGAGGGAGGGAGGGAGGGAGGGAGGGAGGGAGGGAGGGAGGGAGGGAGGGAGGGAGGGAGGGAGGGAGGGAGGGAGAGAGAGAGAGAGAGAGAGAGAGAGAGCATTTGCAGCAAAGGGAACAGCCTGTGCCCAGGCCCTTTGGGATATCTGAGAAAGAACATGAAGGCTCGTGTGGCTGGAGGGCACCAATTCCACAAGACCTGCTGGGTGAAGTGGGCGAGGCAGGCAGGGCCCGCAGTTCTTTGCAAGGAGTTGACACCATTGTATGTGCAAATGGGATGCAGGAGATTCTTCAGGGTAGACCTGCTTTACTTTTCACTGGATCACTTCACTGGATTACATTTTTTAGAGTCGCAGGAAGGGAATGGCCACTTGGAGTAACGGTGAGCTGGGGGTGGCATCTCAGGGACAAGTGCAGGGCATAGAGAGCAGAGCCTAAGACAATGACAACAGACAGCACCAAGCTCAGAGCTGTGAGAAGGGCCCTTCTTTTGTAGTGCATTCTGCTTTAAAATGAAAACAACCCAGGCAGGGACCCCGGTCTATTTTGAGGATGGCCAAGCCTTGAAGAAGAAGAACAATTAGATAGTAAAAGGATTGGAAAACGGGGAGTTTCCAGCGGCCATTTCTTTGTGTCACCCGTGATGCATTTTGACAAAGTGTGAAGCAGGGAAAAAGCCGCCGGATCGCAGGACTGTTTGGCTCTGCTCGGCAGAGCGGCTAACAGCGAATGTTTGCAGACAGCGGGGTCTGCTCCTCCAGTTATGAATTTGGAACCGAAGCATGCAAAAAGAGATTACAGTTTAGCATTCACCACAAGCATTCAGTGAAAAATGAGACTGTCATGCCGGCTGGGACTCAATCTACAAGGGAAAGCAGGGACAGAGGAACGCTGGCAGCTGAGCCTGGACGATGGGCAGAAAATGCCCAGGCTGGAGGCTCAGAGTTTCAATGGCCTTGGGTGAGAATGTCTTCTTTTCTGCTATTAATTTTACCCTTCCTTGTGTCTCTGACCCCATGAGGTTTCTTCTTCTTTTTTTCCTGGCTCACTCTCCATTAGAAATATGTCCCTTGGGTTTCAAAATTAGGCAGCTGAAATGAAAGCTGTTTCAATTCTGGAGTTCAGGGAAGAGGAAGGCATTAAATACATTCAAACCATGACAGTAACTTAGAATTATGTAAATTTTTTGGAGACGTTAAAAATCATCCAATCCAAAGCCCTCTTTTTAGAGATGAGAAAGCAAAGGCCTAGAACGGAGTGACTTCTCCAGGTTCCCACGACCTCCTGGTTGGCAGATCCAAGGTTAGAGCCTAAGTCTCCTGACTTTCATGCCAAGACTCTCTCGGTGACACCCACAGACTTATTTTTCTCCTTTATTTGTGGGAAAGCTTGAGTTATTGGCAGAGCTTATTCAGAGTCACAGACAGTCGGAGGCTTTGGTTAGCTATGAAGCTTTGCTCCTTCCCAGACGCTTGGGCTGTGGAAGGAACGCCCGTGACTCATTAGACCCCACTCTTTCCTTTGTGTTAGCACAAATACCATGCCACAGCCTTGGCACTGGGATTGCACGAGATTGGGTTTGGTACCCTAAAGGGGGCTGGGGCCTTGGGATAGAAGTCCCACCCTGAGGAGAAAGAATGAGACAATAGCAGTGGCTGGTGAGCTAGAAGGGAAAGTGTCTGCGGAGGCCGGGAAGTGTAGTGGTTAAGGCTGACCCTTTAGAAGCTGGCTACCCAGATTTTCTTTTTTTGTTTGTTTGTTTTTCCTCTTTGTTTGAGACAGAGTTTCACTCTTATTGTCCAGGCTGGAGTGCAATGGAATGATCTCAGCTCACCACAACCTCTGCCTCCTGGGTTCAAGTGATTCTCCTGCCTCAGACTCCCAAGTAGCTGGAATTACAGGAGCCCACCACCATTCCTGGCTAATTTTATATTTTTGGTAGATGGGGTTTCTCCATGTTGGCCAGGCTGCTCTTGAACTCCTGACCTAAGGTGATCCTCCTGTCTTGGCCTCCCAAAGTGCTGGGATTACGGGCATGAACCACTGCACCTGCCCCCCAGATTTTCTATTCCAGCTCTACCTCTGACTAGTTGTTTCAACTGGTCAGTTTATTTAACTTCCCATCTATAAAATATATATATGTATGAAAATATACATACCATATTGGTTATCTATTGGTTTGTAACAATATTACTACAAACCCAGAGACTTAAAACAGTGCATATGCATTATCTTACAGTTACTGTGGATCAGGAGTCTGGCATGGCTCAGCTGGGTCTTCTGGAAGGCTGAAGTCAAGGTGTCTGCCAGGGTTGGGGTCTCATCTGAGCCTTGACTGGGGAAGGATCCCCTTTCAAGCTCACTCAGGTTGTTAACAGAATGTATTTCTGGAGGGCTTCATTTCCTTGTTGACTGAAAGCCACCCTCATTTTTTTACCAAGTGGGTCCCCAGTGTGGCTGCTTACTTACTGAAAACAAGCCAGGGAGAGAGAAATGCCAGCAAGTTGGACACCAGAACCTTATGTAACGTAATCACACAATCACTCATGTAATTATGTCACCTTTAATGTTTCAATTGATTAGAGGCAAGTCACAGGTTCTGCCCACACTTGGAGGGGGCTGCAATTATTAATACAAAGGTATGGATACCAGGAGTTGGGATCGTGGGAACCACCTTGAATGTCTGTCCACCACAATGCCTTATAGCAGTGGTTCCCAACTTTTTTGGCACCAAGAAGATAATTTTTTTTTTTTGAGATGTAGTTTTGCTCTTTTTGTCCAAGCTGGAGTACAGTGGCACAATCTTAGTTTACTGCAACCTCTACCTCCCAAATTCAAGCGATTTTCCTGCCTCAGCATCCACAGTAGCTGGGATTACAGGTGCCCACAACCAGGTGCCTGTAATATAAATATTTTATATTTATTAAAATATAATAAAGTTATTATATTTTAGTAGAGATGGGATTTTGCTATGTTGGGCAGGGTGGTCTCAAACTCCTGACCTCAGGTGATCCACCTGCCTTGGCCTCCCAAAGTGCCTGGCTGGAAGACAATTTTTATGGGAGGCAGTGGAGGGGATGGTTTTGGGATGAAACTGTTCTACCTCAGATCATCAGGCACTGGATTCTCATATGGAGTGTGCAACCTAGATCCCTCACATGAGTAGTTCACAAGAAGGTTTGCACGCCTATGAGACTCTAATGCCACCAGTGATCTGACAGGAGGCAGAGCTCAGGCTGCAACGCTCACCTCCTGCCGTGTTGCCTGGTTCCCCACAGGCCACAAACGTACTGGTTTGTGCCCCAGGGCTTGAGGACGCCTTCCTTATACGGTTACTGTGAGGAGCAAGTGAGTTAATATCTTTAAAGCTCTCAGCAGCAGACTTTTACTCGGGAAGCAGCTGTTGGTTGCAGTGGAGGTGGTGTTACTACTACCATTGGGACAACATGATCCTGAGTTAGATTTGCTCTTGAGAAGTTTTCTAACAGTCTTTAGGGGACCTGGGATGATAGGCATAAATGTAAACAAATACCTGCTATAGCTAACAAATGAAACGATTCCAATAGCGTTTCTTACTTAATTTTATTTTCTCTTAGTTGGGAGCTGCATGGTGAGTGATAAATACACAGGGTTTGGAGTTTGAGGGGCTACGAATTTATAGACAGACGACAAATGTTGGCTGTCTTTTTTATTTTTGATTGTGCACCTCATTGGTTGAAAATGTCTCATCATGTACTTTCAACATGTACATCTTTATATTATTAACCATGTGCAAAGTAGAAATGACAAAAGGTTGAGAGAAATAAGAAATAAGCAACATTTTAGTGTCTTTCTAATCCTGAAGGCTTCAAGCTATCATTAGCTCATATTTCAAGGCACTTTTGGTGAAGTGTATCATCAACAATGGTGGATATACATTCATATTCCAAATATAATTCAGTATTGGAATAAGAATTGCTAAAAACAAACAATATGAAGCTTTGGACTTTTTTTTTTTTGGTTGAATTTAATTAGCCCCATTCTTTTCTTTCTTTCTTTTTTCTGTTTCATAATGTGGTTGACAGAGAGATCAAATAGCAGTGGGAGAATAGACAGATTAGGATGGACAACTTATTTATTATTTATCCTGAAGCCTTCAGGATTAGAAAGACACTAAAATGTTGCTTACTTCTATTGTTGCATTGTGTCTGCATGAGGGGTATGATCTTCAATCTTTAGCATCTTTGCATGAAGCCTTTTAAGCCACTGGTGTATTTGGTAGGGTTTATTTAGGTTGGAATAGATTGTGCAGTCATTAAATTAATTTTATGTGTCCCACAAAAACTGTGATACATCACAGTCTGC